TGCAAGTATATGTACATACGGAAAAAAATGTATTGATAGAAATTAATCCACAAACCAGGATACCAAGAACATTCAAGCGTTTTGCTGGATTGATGGGTAAATATGAACAATTGATTTTTAACTATATCACATATGCAGTAGATAGATAAATAGACTTTATTTGATTGCCTATCAAGAGACACGTCTTGACGTCTTGTGCGAAGTCTAAAGATACACAGACTATGTATCTGTACTTAAATTGTCGAGTTAAAAGAGATTATCAGATCTGAATAACATCTAAATCCATTAAGTTCTGAGTAGGCTTAATGGATAGCTTTGAATTATATAACAAAACTGTTTTTATTTTTGTCTATCTATATTTATTTGTGTCTTAGGAGAGCTGATATTGTAATGCAAAGTTCAAAATATAAATATTTTGCATTAATGGGATTATAAGTGGCTTCGGCATAGTATACAATATTCTTTATGCAACACGTGCATGGAAAGTGCTCCATTACGCACGCTACGCGTGCGTGATAGACCACTTTCCAGGCACTTGCAACATAAAATAGGGAGTGTAAGTCGTGTGTAAAGATGAAAATTCCTGGGTCCGGAGTTTACGCACGAGCCGAAGGCGGGAATTTTCATCTTACCTCACTTGTTACACAAATAACTATTTATATTATGTACATACTTTAGTAAAATTATATAAATCTAAGTTGCATAAACCTACATCCAACTATCTCCACAGTAAATTTATTATTAATGCGTTAAATATTTTGTTGCAGTACAACTGTTACACAAATATGGTGTCAGAGCATCTGATGGGCCAATGAAGCTTCTTAAAGTGATTAAGAATCCTGTTACGAATCACTTACCAGTTGGTTGTCGTAAGATATTGATGTCGTTTAACGCGAGCAAAGTACTGAATCCACGAGAACTTGTACCTGCTGAAGATCCCATTGCTATTGTAGTTGGAGCTATGGCGCACGGCCAAGTAAGTTATTAAGATAATACTGTTACTATTGTATTAAAAGCTGTATTACAAATAGTATTCATATTCTTGTTTATTTGTAGGTCAAAACGGATTACATAGAAGATACTTTCTCAATCAGTAATTATCCTCTCTCGGGCGCCGTCGCATGTAGTAAATTATGTACAGCATTTGAAGAAGTTTGGGGAATTGTCTAATAAAGAGCTATGACATATTACATATTTAATTTCGAATTTATATCAATTGCGAGAACACTATTAGAAGGATTTCTAAAAATGGATATACAATGATTCAGTGAACTTCCTATTCTATTTGTACATCTTTTTCTTTTATGTTTTCGTCGAATAAATATTTAATATATACATGTTTTATTAACATGGATAT